ATATATCAATATTTAAATATATATTAAAATATATAAATATATTTATATTTATAGATTTTATAAATATATAAATATATATATATATATATATATATATATATATATATATATAAAAAGATGTAAATATATAAAGATATAAAGATATAAATATATGTAAAGATATAAAAATATAAATATATATCTTTAATATTTTGTACATGTAAATATAATTTATATATATTTTTAAATCTTTTTCTAATATTTATTTTTAAAAATATAATATTATTTTTAAAATTTAATATTTAAATTTTTATTTTTTTCAAATATATTAATATATAAAGATATAAATGTATAAGGATATAAATAAATATATCAATATATCTATATATATATATATATATATATATATATATATATATATATATATATATATCAAAATATAAATATATAAATATATTAATATATAAATATATCATATTATATATATATATATATATATATATATATATATATATCAATATTATCCCCTCATATATTATTATAAATTATTAGCGTAATTTTAGTTTAATTAAAAATTAGAATACAAATATATTATATTATATTAATATACCATTATGTTATAATATTTGTAATTTATTTTTATAGTATATAAATTACAAAACTAATAATTTGTATACTATACTATACTAATATATAATTTGTATACTATACTAATAGTATAATATACTATATTATAATATTATTTGTATACAAAACTAATATCTTTATATATAAATATATAAATATGGAAATATATAAATATATGTAAAAATATAAAGATATAAATATATCAATATATAAATATATCAATATTTAAATATATCAATGTATAAATATATTAATATTTAAATATATATTAAAATATATAAATATATTTTATTTATAGATTTTATATTTATATATTTATACGGATATACATTTATTTGTATATAAATATAATTTATTTGTAAGTTATTATAAAAAATTCTAGTAGCTCAGTGGTTGGAGTTTTAGCCTCAAACTCTAAGGTACTGGGTTCGAATCCGACAATGACATTAAACCTAATAATAAGTTAAACTTCGAAAAATATAATATAAAAAGTGGTAGGGAAAATAAATATAAATAATTTTGTTTTTTATTTAGCGACCGATTTAAATCGGTCGCTATTTTTTTAAACTTTGTTATTGATTTAACGACCGATTTAAATCGGTCGCTATTTTTTTAACTTTGTCATTGATTTAGCGACCGATTTAAATCGATCGCTATTTTTTTAACTTTGTTATTGTTTTAGCGACCGATTTAAATCGGTCGCTATTTTTTTAACTTTGTCATTGATTTAGCGACCGATTTAAATCGGTCGCTATTTTTTTAACTTTGTCACCGATTTAGCGACCAATTTGATATATTAATTTCGGTCGCTATTTTGTGACCGAAATAAAATCGGTCGCTATTTTGCGACCAAAATGAAAATCGATCGCTAACACATTAGCGACTTGGCTTTTAGCGACGACGCCTTTCGGTCGCTAACTCGGTTAGTGACCAATTTTTTGACATTAGCGACCAATTTTTTCGGTCGCTAAAGTGATTTGTTTATTAATTGTATTTAACAATATTTTCATTATTTTAATATTTAAAAACTGAAAATTTTGTTTTGTAACTGTCTTATTAAAGTAGTTTTCAGAAACGGTTATAATTTTTTAGTTTTTAAAACTAAAAAATAGAATTATAAAGAAAACAATCTCTCCTCACAATAATCAAAATACGATTTTTTTTTATTAATGATAAAATTATAAATATTTTAAAACATATTTAACATGAAAATATTTTATTATTATATTTTTAGTATACCATTCTTATAATTGGTTCTCATTGTAATTACATCATATGTTAACTTATCCTCTTCGTCTCATTCTTAAATATTAGAAATAAGTCAATAACTAAAATAAAATATTTTTTATATTTTAAAATATCTTATTTAAAATATATTTATTTTGTTTATAATTCTTAAAAAAAAGAATATCTTATTTATATTTAATAAGACCGAAATTAAATATATTTATTAAAATAATAATTAATAAAAAAATATAATTAAATTATTTTTAAATTTTTAAAAATATTTTTATCAAATATTTTCTTATATTTTCTTATTCATAAAATAACTTTTAGTCTATAGTTATCAAACATTTTTTTAATATAATTTAAAAAGTATTTTTTTAAAATTATTACTGAAATTATTTTTAAAAATTAAAAATAAAATTAAATCAAACCAAACCAAACTTTAAAATAATTTAATAATTTTTCAAATTTAACATGTTGAACGATGAAATTATTTTGTTAAATAAATATCAGATTTGATTTTGACCTTGTATAAATAAATATATTCAAAATTTATAACGTTGACATTTGAAACTGTTAAAAACTTGTCGAGTACATATACAATGATTCAAAATATTAGTTTTAAATAAAAAGTCATACTTTATAAAATTCTAATGTGTAAAAAAAAATATTTTATAATTTTATGCTAAAAGTTCCTGTATTTTTTTCCTTATTTTCTTCTCACATTTTAAATTAAAACGTTAATTACTCTAAACTAATAAGTTTATAAAAACTTGAAAAATATATTTAATAAATAAAACAAATAATCAAATTATAAATCAGTTAAACAAATCTTATGTTTTCCTAACCATTCATGTCAAAGCCATAAATATGACAAATTAACAACTAAAATGAAGAAGTAGAAACTTAAACAACATTTTATGCAGGACTAGTAAATGTTTAAAACGCAACCCCCTCATAATAATAATAATAATAATAATAATAATAATAATAATAATAATAATAATAATAATAATAATAATAATAATAATAATAATAATAATAATAATAATAATAATAATAATACTAATAATAATAATCATAATAATAATAATAATAATAATAATATATTTATTAAAAACGTGTTATAAATTTACATTATATATATTGGTGTTTTTTCCACTACTAGGATGGAGAGAAGAGATATAACATAAAAATAGGGGAAATAATAAAAATATGCATAAAATAGATTTTAATAAAAAAATAACAATGTATATCAGTCTATATATTCATAAATTATATGGATTGAATTGCTAAATTTTTAAATCAAGATTTGTGTCCTTGATTTATTTTTGTTAGAATCCAATTGAGTTAATTAAATTTTGTAAATAGTTTGAAAGCTAGACTTTTAGTTTGATTTGCAGGTTTTGAAACTATTTAAAATTTTTAATTAAACATCTAATAGAGCTATAGAAAAATATGATTAGAAATCTAATTTCAAATATTGATAACTTTGAGGATTTAACAACATTTTAAAAAATTTAAAAACTTATTTAAAATTCGTTAAATATATTCATAATATTTATAAATAAGACATTATTTATTTACAGTCCTTCAAAAACATTTTTCTTCTTTATAATTAATTGTTTGTAAAAAGGCGCCAAATGTGATCTTCGTCTTTTAAATCAATGGTTTATAAAAACAAGGATACATTTTATAAATAAATAAATTAGTAAAATAAGATTATTTTTTAGAAAGTACCAAAAAAAAAAAAACTATCCTACTCAAACAAATAAATAAATATTATCTTCATGAAAAAACATTAAACATTCAATAAAATACACACTTATATTTTTTTTATGACCCAATATTATAAATGTCATTTCAAATATCAATACTGCCATTATTATTTTTTTCTATATCCAAATTATTTTTCAAGTTTAAAACGTGTGTGAACCATGCACTCAACATGATTAAGTCTTTTAAGTAATAAATAAAAAATAATACTATAAAAATATTTACTAGCACATTTCAAAACTCAAGCTATCAATTCATTATATGATTTATAAACTTGTTGCATCTATAAATATTAATAGATAACATTCAAACGGTAATATTAAAGTGTTTTCTAAAAATAATATAATACCTTTACAATAAAAAGCTATAATAAATATAACATTTGTCTAACTATGAAGAAATGATATCTATGGATAAATATATGTGTATTTTAAAAACACGTTAATATCTTCGTTTCTACCATCAAAAGTCTAAATAAATATAATTATATGATTTTTAGTATATAAATATATATTAAAAGAAAATTAGGGCCAAATATACATGTAGATCCATTGATGCTCCAGGCTGGATTTGTGTATTATTTTTAATACTCTTATGGCACTTTATTAAAAAAAATAATATATATTTTGAACGAAATTCATTAAAATAGTTAATATAAAAAAAGTACTTATATTACATTAAAATAAGATTTTATTTTATAATCATATTAATAAAAATAATGTATTTAATCAAGATTACTAAATGAACTAAAGATATTCTTTAAATGCTGATAAAGAATTCCCTGATATTACGTTTTAATATCAAAATATTAATGCACAGGTAAGAGAGGCTCATCTAACTGACATTTGATTTTGTATAGTTGGAACATTTTGTGGCAGCAGGAGTTTGATTGAGGTCTCAAGCCAGTGTGGATGCAAAACCCATTCATTATAAAAGGCCATCAACAGAGAGAAAGGAAGACAGAGAGAGAAGACTCTCAGAGGCCATTGCTCTACAAGAAAATAAAATCAAAACACAAAGAACTCTCTCTCTCTCTCTCTCTTGCTATTCTCATTCTTTGTTTTCACCTTCCCTTGTGTTCAACCTTTTTTTTTAGCTTAGGCTATCACATATATAATAATCACAACTTACATGACCAGTGTTCTGCTCATGGAAAAAAAAAGTGCATGCAATTAGTCAACTAGCGTTACCACAACACCATTCTTCCCGCATCCACACTCTCGTTTGCTCGAAACGAAAAGTTGAGTGTTCTAAGATCCAGAGAGGAGAAACTAGCAAGGTTTGTTCTTTTTTTATTTTTATTTTTTCTTTTGCAGCTTTTTTTGTGTCACCTCGATGCAAAACATATACAGCAACTACCCAGAAGAAAACATTCTTCCTCTTTACCAAAGATGTTTCATTTTCTCAAATCCATTTCATGGGGTTTGCTTGTTTCTTGTTTGTTTTCAGACATGGAAGCGTTTCAAGGGACGAGGGATGACATTTCGTTCCAAGTGGGTCTGATTTGGAGCCAAGTGAAGGAGCCAGTGATCGTGCCACTGCTGAGAGTGGCAGTGTTTGCGTGTTTGGGCATGTCGTTGATGATGCTGGTGGAGAGGGTGTACATGGGCCTTGTCATTTGTTTGGTGAAGCTGTTCGGTCGAAGACCCGAGAAGCGTTACAAGTGGGAGCCTATGAAGGACGACGTTGAGTTGGGAAACTCTACATATCCCATGGTCTTGGTCCAAGTCCCAATGTACAACGAAAGAGAGGTCACATATTTTTCCTGTGAAACTTTACAAACAAAGCCACACATCTTTTTACTCCCTTATCTTTGACACATGTTTCCACATTTCCAAATGCAGGTTTATCAACTCTCAATTGGAGCTGCTTGTGGCCTTTCATGGCCTTCAGACAGAATCATCATACAAATTCTTGATGATTCCACAGACCCATCAATCAAGGTATGTATGTTATTAGCATTTGGAGCGAAAGTGTAATACATTATATGGGGTTGTGAGTGAATGAATGAACAAACGCAGGAGTTGGTACAAATGGAATGTAGCAGATGGGCAAGCAAAGGAGTGAACATAAAGTACGAAGTGAGGGACAACAGAAACGGGTACAAAGCAGGGGCTCTGAAAGAAGGGATGAAACGTAGCTACGTGAAGCAATGTGACTATGTAGCCATCTTTGACGCGGATTTTCAACCAGAGCCTGATTTCCTCTGGCGAACCGTCCCATTCCTTGTCAACAACCCCGAACTTGGTCTCGTTCAGGCGCGCTGGAAGTTTGGTACATCCTCTTTCATCTACGCCTCAATTAATCACTTTATCTCTAATTTACTCTCTTCTAAAAGACAATCACACAATGAACTATTATTACATGATTTTTAAGATAATTGTTATATAAATTTAAAATTTTATTATATCAAAATACAAACTTCTCCATAAATATTTTAAAATAAATAAATAAAATAAGTTTTTTTCATAAACTGAATAAAAGTGTTTTCATTTTTTTTAACTGGTTAATGAATTAATTTTAATTTATGATGAAAATAATTTTAATCTATATCCATAGTAGTTTATAATTGAATAAAAGTTTGCTCACTCTATTTTGTTTGTCTGTTATTTGTAATTTATAATAATTTATACGGTCTTTTGATAAGAATTTGTTATGTACAATAGTTTATTAATTTAATATGTTTATCATAATTTTGCATCAATTGACCTGTGCTAGAAACTGTAGAAATTAAACCCTTTTTATAATTAGTCAAATTTTATTGAAACTAAACTATAGATAACGTAAGTTTCACTTTTTAATTAATAAATGTAGAAGTCTTAATAATTTTTAATTATTAAATTAATAATAATAAAAAAAAAAAGAGTACAGCATTGTCCTAAGTATTGATTCTAACTTTTTGGCGGCTTGGCGGGGCGTTCTTTTCTTTTTCTTTTTTTTTTGTCCTTTTTTCTCGGATTAACCATTTAACCTTAATCCGTGGTCTTGGTTCGGAAAATACAGCGTTGCTAATAAAAAACTGTCGGTGGGGCTTGTTTGTTTGGGGCAAGGTGGGTCCCACTTTGTGCTTGAATGACCCTCTACATGCTCCACGTGTGAAACTCTAGCCATTGTTGTGTTGTTATTACTTTGTTTGGGTTCACTTGTCTTCTAAGTTCTGGAAAAAGGGGAGTGGCTACATAGCAAAATCCCCTTTTCTACTTTGAATTTTTTAATACAGTCTGTCATGAGAAGTCACGATCACAAATGAACTGATAGATGATTAAATTAAACTTAGGGTTCATTTAATGCGAGAATGGGGTTGGTTCTCTGTGGCCGAAAAGTGAGATAAGGATAATAGTTGGACCAGACTAGAGAAAAAGAAAAAAATTAGAGTGGGTGTTTATAGGCACAGCAACTCAATGAATAAAATGGAATTGATACGCAAAATCTTAATAAATTTTCCTAGTCATGGTGGTTCGTTAATTATTATTTTTTAAAGATCAGGTTACTTTATGTTAGAGATATAATTAGAGTTATTTATACCTTTCACCTAATAATTAGGTCATCATAATAGCTACCTACATATGTATGTGCTAGATTTGTACGTATTAAGGTCAACTAGTTTTTCATGTTTCGTCTTCTAACGGAAAAGTATTACGAGCATAAATAAGCATGTATTTGAAGTGTGCACTTGAATTGGTAAGCTTTTACTTGTCTAAGTAAAGTTGCTTTCATAGATAAAAATGAAAATAATTACAATTGTTGTAAGTGGGTATTATTCATGTGTGATCAATTATGATGTTCTATAGGCCTTTTAATTATATTTAGCTATTTGAGTAGAGCTATTCTTTATGATTTTACAAAATTCATATGCTATAATTAGATTAATGAAATGATGATGTATAAATCAAAAGTTGAATAGCCCTCACGCATTGAATTACAACATGTAAAAGGCATAAGGAATAAGATTACCCTATAACAAAGAAAAATATGATAGCATTGAAGGAAACTGTGCACTGACTTTAGTGACTTATAAGGGTACATAAATGAGAAGGACATTGTACTAATCCAAGAAAAGACTTGAACATGTGCATTACCACTTTACAAGAATTTTTCTGCCAAGTTTTTATTTTTATTTTGTTTTTCTTTTCAATCAACGAAGTTGTAATTTTGGCTCAACCATTCTTAAAGTCCGAAACATAATTATGGTGGATTGTTGTGACCGCAAAAGAGGGCAATACTCGAAATTAATCTGCATGCGTATTTCATGGGGTACCTATGTTTTACGAGGCCACAACAATTGTTGGTATAATTGTGGTTGTTGATGTCATGATTGTTCATAAGATGCTTATTTTTCATCTCCTTTCTTCCTTTACTGTAATTATTTTTCTTTTCTCTAGTGCTACTTATTTCTGCACATTTTTTTTTAATCTAAGAAAGCACACATTCATGAAAGAAAATATTCACTACAACTGTTGCATCCGGCAGCTGCATGTGCAATTTCAATGGTGGACCATCATTTCCATCTCTGTGTCTAAATCAATTGCTAAAAGACAGTTGAATTGAAATCGCACTCTCCTGCTAAATCATTCCTAATAACACGATGAAATTGTAAATTTTATTGCCGCAAAGTTGTGGAATTAACAATGCACTTATTTATTTATTTTTATTTTTTTTCAGTGAATGCCAATGAATGCTTGATGACCAGGATGCAAGAGATGTCTCTGGATTACCATTTTACTGTGGAACAAGAAGTGGGGTCTTCCACTTACGCCTTCTTTGGCTTCAACGGTAATTATCTAGTGGCAAATAATTTCTCTCCCTACAACATCAAAAATGAAAACAGTTTCATCTGTTTTCCTTTTCAAAAAAGAATAATTGATTTTAAGTGCAACAGTGGAAATGGAAATGTTTTCTTGTAGTTGTAGACTTGTGGCATAATGATTTTACAACCATTTTTGCACTGCTGTAAATGATACAGGAACTGCGGGCTTATGGAGAATTTCGGCTCTGAATGAGGCTGGGGGATGGAAGGATAGGACCACAGTGGAAGATATGGACCTGGCTGTTCGAGCTAGTCTTAAAGGATGGAAATTCTTATACCTGGCCAATTTGAAGGTTAAATTTGCTTAATTCTGTTTTCTCTGTTTTATTTTTTTTCTGATAAAAGTATTGGAATGGAACAATGTCTCCATTCTATTTGATGAAATGTCAATGATATACTACTAGCACTGTTAGCAAAGACTCACCTAAAATACAGCACAAACAGTTTAATTCAGTCGTAATTACTTAACTAGTATCTGAATATTAGGAGATTTCCAAGTTGTCTACCAAAGTAGATTTAGTAAGTTCAGGAAATATATCTGCATAATTCAATATCACTCAATGTTGTTAATCTTTATACATTACCAAAATTTAAGTTAAGACTTGGGACTGGAATGTTGATTGGTTGGATTCTTTTTATTACATGATTTTGTTGATAAGCATGAATTAGTATGACATGAGCCTATTACTTGGACGACAGGTTAAAAATGAATTACCAAGTACTTTGAAGGCCTACCGCTACCAACAGCACAGGTGGTCTTGTGGACCAGCCAATCTTTTCAAGAAAATGGTCATGGAGATTATGAGGAACAAGGTAAGTTTGCTCCGTTGAATTGGCATGGAAGGACAAAAAGTATTGGCTATTAATGACCAAATATCTTGTGTGTCCATTGCAGAAAGTATCCTTGTGGAAGAAGATATATGTGATTTACAGCTTCTTCTTCGTCCGCAAGGTGGTGGCCCACATAAACACTTTTGTGTTCTATTGTATTGTGTTACCTGCAACAGTTGTGGTGCCTGAGGTGACGGTCCCCAAGTGGGGTGCTGTGTATATCCCTTCCATCATCACACTCCTAAATGCTGTTGGAACTCCAAGGTCTTGATTTTTTCTAGACGTTTCCTTTCGTTCTAAAATCTAGTTACCTCTACTACTATCAAATATCATAAACGAAAGTAGGATTAACTTGAGGAAAACGTAGTTCTTGCACTCACATTATAAATTGTTTACAAGTATAACCTTGTTGGTGTTTAACTATTTTTCAGGTCACTGCACTTGCTGGTCTTTTGGATTCTCTTTGAGAATACCATGTCTCTGCATCGAACAAAGGCTACAATTATTGGCCTACTAGAGGCTAGTCGAGTGAATGAATGGATTGTCACTGAAAAACTTGGAGATGCTCTTAAGGGTAAAGGTGGGGGTAAAGCACCCAAGAAAATTCGATTCAGGATTGGAGACAGGTATAATGATGGAGTATTGTTAATTTGTTATTATTGGTTTCATTCATAAGATAACAATAGCATTCACTAATTCACAGTTTAAATTATATCCTAGTGCTTACCAATCTATATTTGTTGTTTTTGTGATCAATATCATTAGGATTCACATGTTGGAACTTCTTGTTGGATTCTACCTCTTCTTCTGTGGCTGCTATGACGTTATGTTCGGGAAAGACCGCTTCTACATATTCCTATTCATTCAATCAATTGCTTTCTTCATCATGGCATTTGGATATGTTGGCACCATCGTTCCCAACTCCTAAAAGGACTTCAGAACACTTCATTCAGATATCTACATATTGTAATAGTGTTCATTCTGTGACATTAAATTAAAGCTTGTGTTATGGGTGGTCATTCTTCAAGGTTCTGCATAATCAGAGTCTGTGGCTCGAACAGTTTTTGTGAATATTCAACAAAGATACATAAGAAAATTAGAAGTGATTCCTATGGAAATGAAATATACAGAAGATGAGTACAGCACTCTACAGGCATCAATCTTCCCTGGGCAAACATCTTTGATTGCAAAGATGGTTTATAAGATTTTGTAGTTCTTTTTCTTTTTTATTTTATAAATAATTTCCTTCTTTACTTGAATTTGTTTGAAGAAATAATAAACATCTTCAATAAATGGGGTAGATTACAGAGTTTCGTGTTCAATCTCCTTTTTGTCTTACTCTATATTTTAGTCAAAATTTTAGAATCAGTGTCCGGAACTAATATGTTTGTAAAAAAACACGTTTGAAATTGTTAACTTCTAGCTAAACCTGAAAAAAGTCATATCATAAATATGAAACATGACACTCATACTTTAATATCAACAACTGAATATTTTAATTGGTTTGATCTATGACTGAAGAGTTCCAACTACCAACATTTTATGCAACAGAAGAATATGAGAAAAGGAAGTGAAATAAATATTGGTGGTTTAGAAATTGCTTACAGTTTTCATTTCTTTGCATTTGCAATTGCTAACCTAATTGCTGTTGGCACCAAAAATAGGATTTTTCTTTTCACTTTTGCAGCAGAAACATAAGTAAACTAAATCAGTCCTATTTCCTGAATCCTGACCTGAGAAGGGTAAAAGCATGTCAAAAGCATTTATATCTGTCTGCTCTATGTTTGTTTTCCATTAATAATCCAACAACCATATCTGAACCCAAGTCAATTTTCATCGGTCTATTCAAACTAGGAAATATGAGGTCACCGTTGTCACAATCCCTAGATACAGGTTGGATTCTCAATAATTAAATATCCAGAATCAAAATATGAAAGTTATTTGCGGTAATCGACGGTTCAATAATTAATTTTATGTATTATAAATAAATGAGTTTACTAGTTATATATTACTATTTTTTTATTTATAAGAATTGACCAAATATTATAAAATTTACAAAAAAATTCACACAAATACTCAATCAACTAAGTTGAGTTTCCTGGACAATTATGTTAAATAATGTACTAATTTTATATTATTATTTGATAATAAATTGATGCTAACATGACTTTTTAAAGTAATTATTAGAAAAATCATTAAATACATGATAACTGATGATAATATAAAATTATTTTACCAAGTATATAAACATTTTTTTATCTTATATTTAGTTTAAAATAATTATTTTTAGAAGATAATGACTTATGAGGGGCAAAGTAACGGGTGGCATGAGATATTATGAGCTTATTCATCTAATAAATATCATTTATGTGCAATAAATTTTATCAATGAGGAATACAACAATCCTCCCACTTACTAAGAATCACACTAATTTATACCAGGTCTAAAAGGTAATATATATATATATATATATATATATATATATATATATATATATATATATATATATATAATTATAAAGTGTTGGTTCTTGAGGAACTCTCCAAATTTATGATGGACAACTTCATTAGTAAAATATATTTAAATTTAGTGGTTGAGCTAGAGACTTGTAAGTTATGTATTGAATTAATAAAGAGAAAATTAATCGGCATACACTTATTTATTGCTGTCCTTGTTTTAATTTTATAAAATAACTTATTTTTATAATAAAAATATCTAAATATAATTTATTTCGTTGTTTTAATAAAAGTTAATTATCATTCAAGGTAGCATGGTTTAAATGCATACTATGGAAAAATGAAAAAGCCAAAGAACATTTTGCAAAAGACGATGTAATGAATCCAACCCATGTATCTTATGACATGTTTGTGAATGAAAATAAACATGAATGACATTGCCAAATGAATAAACGGTTGAAAGTTGGTTGAATCACTTTCAATAACCTGATTTTTGCAAGTTCTACCAAACAATAACGAAGAAGTTGGACCAGAAAGGGTGACGAAGATGTTTCTGTATCTGTGCAGACCCATAAGACTTCAATTAATGATTATGGTCACACCGTCGTTTTCCAAGAGTTAATTTCCATACGTACAAATTTCAAGGTGCTTCACGGATGAGATGAAATTTAGTTTATCATGAACGATCATGATATAAGTTTGTGCGAGAAAGTTAAAAAAAATTCTTTTTTTCTAAGTTAATTAATTAATTCTCAACATACTTTGAGACAAATCTCTATGATTTAAAAATCTTTACTCAGAAATACGTGCGTTTTATGTGATATGATATTGGACCATATATTATATATAATATTTTCTATTATTTACAAATTTCTACGAATATAAGATAAATCGAAAATGTTGAAATTTTGCTTTGTTTTATTATTGGATTAATTTCTATTTATTAAACCATATTAATAATGATAGATATTATGTCATTGTTAAGTAAATAAAAAATATTATTTATTTGTATTTAGATTTCATTCAATATTATTACACCACCACAAACCTTAATTATTATTTATATAAATTATTTTTGAAATTAAAGTTATAAATTATGAATTTTTAATAAACAATGTAAAAAGTTCAATTGTCCTATGCTTATATTTTAAGATACGTATTATTTAAGAATATTTTTTGTATAGCAACATTAATTTTTATTCTGATTTAAGTATCATCATGTCTTTACAAACACATGAGAAAAAAAGTTCTAGAGAAGTTCCAAGAACCATAAATGTCCATAGATCCTCAATGCTAGAAAGAGAACTCATTGATCCTGTAAGAACATTTAATATCTACCTTGAGACTAAGTAAAACTTTTAACGATTATATGGTGTCAACAAGGAATATGACGAACAATAAGAAAGAACCATGGCACAAAGTCCAAGAAAATCATACTAGTGAAGCAACGATGTTGGCCAATAAGAAAAGAAATTGAGAATCTAAAAAAGATAAATGTTGAGGAGATGGAAGCACTCAACACAATAAAACACAAAAATACGGAAAAAACTCAAGGTACATTCAACCGAACAAAATGGACCAAGCATGAAACTAAGGCAAATAAAGACAGAAGCACTAACATTCTCATCTACCATCATCTCTAATTGTTTCAAGAATACTAAAAGCTAAAAGTTGTCCCCAAACTAGGACATACTTCAATGTTTCAGCAAAAACCTCTGAAAACCTAGGCGGACATCATCAACCTCTTACGAAATAATGGACAGTGGCGGATCTTCTTGAGAGTTGAGGAGGGTCGTGGACCCCCCAAAGTTTTGTAACTCCCATGTAATTTATGATTTTGGCCTCCCCAAACATAATGAATATTTAATATATTTACTTGTATATTTACAATTTTATCCTCTCAGCCTCTCCTCAGTTTTGTAACTCTCATATAATTTATAATTTTGTTCCCCTCAAACTTAATGATCATTTAATATATTTAAGTATATATCTAGAATTTTATCTTTTCACCCTTTTATCTTCTTTATTCCTTTTATATTTATTTATTATTTATTAATAATATATTATTTGACTTTCCCAAGATCAATGGTCAAAATTTGCTAATGATAATGGAGACATTATTACCAGCAACATGAAAAAACTTGATGACAAATCAATATGATGGAACTACTTCCCAAGCAATACATTAATGTCTATGTGATGCAAGTTCCACAAAAGATGTCATTTTGTGCAAAGTCTTTCCCACCTCCCGTGAATGGGCGATGTTCAGCTAGTTTATTAGTATGAGTGTTAAAATAAGCATAACTCGATGGATTAGACTAAAATGCATGAGAAATAGGTCAGATTAGGTCAAAAAATTGTACCACAAATTGAATCAGGTATATTTTGGCTCGACTTATTTAGGTCATGACCTACATGCACTGTAAGCTTATGGACCGACCCGTTTTACAGAATAATAATTATATTTTAAATTAAAATTAAAATAATATTATTTTATTAAAAAGAATATATATATATATATATATATATATATATATATATATTATAAATTAATTTTACAGAGGATTCATTTATTTTAAGAGTAAATATTATAATAAATATTTAACAACCACTTATTCCAAAATATAATTATTAAGATTAATTACTATTTAAAATTAATAAATTGCTTGAAAAAATAAATAATGATAATAAATAGTAAGTTTTTAATTCTTATTTTGAGATTGAATAAATGCACTTTCTTATAATTTATATATTAAATTATTATATCTTAAATAAAAAATAATTTTATTAATAAAAAAATAATTTTATTAATAAAAAAATTTAAATTTTTTTTATTATTTATTTTTATTTAAATATTTTTTAATTAATTGATTTGGTATATATGTGTTAATATTTTAAAAAATTCAATTAGGCCAAAATTGTCCCATTAACCCGCTTAGCTAACATAAGGTTAGACTAGGTTAAATATTTTGGTCTGTTTTAAAATATAGGTCAGGTAAACTATCAATTCTTTTTACTTTGTCCATATGAAGAGACCAAGTTGAACTAGGTTGCCTATTTTGACAACTCTATTTACTAAAATGTCATGGTGCTCCATAGATTGTTTTGATACATATGGAACCAAACTCGATACACAATTTCCACCTAGCCAATTGCACCACCTCATATCCATTACCTTTGTTAACATTATGAAAGACAAAGGAGAATCTCTCAAGACCTACATGGAAAGGTTCGGAAAGGTAACATCGAATATTAGAAACTTGAACCTTGAGGTGAACCTCCATCACCTAGTCACAACTTTGAGACCGAGACTGTTTGCGAATAGCCTATGCTAGAAACCAACCCTCAATTTGGACGAGTTATGATAACAAGATGTGAAGTTCTCGCAACCGAAAGAGTTAAGGAAATTTCACAAACAAACAAGAGTCCAAAGTACCTCAGAAAAGAGAAACTTCGAAAAGGAAAAGGAAGA